GTGCGGATCGAACAACTAATCGCTTGCGGACATCACGCCGCTGGAAATTCGTGTAAGTTGACAGTCTGGTACATGAGTTATTGCTGTACAGTACAATTACATTAAAATTTATAAATAAAATATAAATTATACGTTAATAATAATAATAATATTGGTGAGCTTTGAACTTGACCCGGTACCGTGGTACATACCATTATACCATTGGTATTTTGAAAACGGTCCAATATTTACAACTATACACAGTCGTTCGACCCGATCGCGTTTCAACAAACACTAAAAAAGCACGTTCTAGAAAAACGATATATTATGTTTGTGTATAAAATGTACATCAGTTACATTTCTGACCGTTTTTCATGTAAATATATTAATGATTAAACCATAATCACGTACTCGCTTAAAATAATAATAAGTCTATTTTGTAATTTCGATCACTATTATTATTTTCCATATTCTATATTATAAACGTATAATGTATATGTAAAAAAATGTTAAGGTTTATATTATGTTAATAAAATTAAAATCCATTGGCAACTAAATATTATTATTCTAATATTATTTTCGAATTGTCAATAGGTACAATACGTATATTATGTTGGTTAAATATATATTAGAATGACTTAAAAGATTTTTCTATTTATCACTAATGTGATTTAATATAAGAATTAGGAAATATTTAGGTACAAGTTGTATTACTGTTGACAAATCTTAACTTAAAGGAACATATATGGCTATTCTCGGACTATTGCCTCGTGCTTGCGAGGTTACACGTCATATTTAATAAGTATATGATACCGTCAATATCCTATTATTACCTATATTGTAATATTATTAGCAAAATAAATGTGAAATAAATTGTTTATCTTTAGATAAATCAGTATAGTTTAGATGAATAGCGAATACTGGACAGTGTCTTGAAAGTTTGGGAAATTGGAAATATTTGTATGCATTTATTCATACCCATTATACCTATATTATTATATTATACCTAATATAGAATATACATATAGAAATAAAAAAACAGTACCTGGTACAGGAATATTTTAAGCATTTCGTTTTAATAGCATTTAATTTTTAATTTTTTTATTGTTATTTGTATATATATATATTTATTATTATCAACAATTGATTACAGTATTGATAAAAACTACACCTATATGTTATGATGAAGACATCAATTAAAACTCGTAGTTCTAATAAAAAAAAGTTTATAAACATTTTTTTTTAACAGATGTTAAAATATGTTAGTTAATTTTAGATATATAGATACATTTATTATGCAGGTATAAACAGTATCAAAGTTATGAAGAAAAGAAATGTTTAATAATAATAATTTWAAAAAATATATAAGCATCACTTACCTAATGGCTAATGATATTCATCTACTATAAATTATAATTATTTAAACTATTAGGTATAGGACTTATGTGCATGTAATCTTTTTTCTTTTTATAAACCGGATCATCTCAACATACCAAAATAAACGGCCGTCGACCGATTTCATAATTTCATAATATAATTATTTGTTCATTGCGTATATTTATATGTTGAAACAGTAATTGGGCCACTATTTTTCTTTTAAGTATAACACACAAATTAACAAATATTTTGTTTATAATTGCTTACGAACAATAGTTTAAACATTAAATTAAGGTAATATTATAATTAATAATKATATAAATTGGAGTTCGTGGTGATCTAATTTTTGACACAACCTGTATATTAATAAGTATGAAATCAACTTTTTAGTTACCTAAATATAGTAGATTAGATATTTGTTAATGAATTATTTATCGACATTTTTTTAAATACGTCATAACAAATTCTCAGTCACAATTCACCCTACTAAAATTGACATTTAATTCAAACATACTATTATATAATTATGAAAATGTATACAAAAGTAATATAAATCAATTTATTTACATAAGTCAATGGCTCCATTTCAATGAAATCTGGGAGTGTTTATGYCCCTTATTTTTTCAATCAGTCCACAAATGGTATAAATAAATTCAAAAATAGAGGCGCTAATTATCCTCCTTCCTCTCTCATCCCTTAATTGCGCTTACAACATAATGTATTCATATTTTAAAGATATATGTTTAAATTAATCGTTTTGGTGAATTCTAAATAGTATACTAATTTAAAAAGTGGGTTATGTTGGTGTTCATTTATTTATTTATTAGAACTTCAACAATAGGAATGAAATTAACAAGTATCAATTTAACTCAATTATWAATATAAAACCGATCGTCATAAAAAGGAATATTTAGATATTATTTTTGACTGTCTATAATTTTGTTAGTATTTAAGGTTTTTAATATGTATTATTTACCTAGGATATTAGAATATTAGATATTATTTTGAAATATTTTAGTTATTTTTTATTATAATTTATAGTATTATTGAATAACAATTTTACTCGTTTTTTATAGGCAGTTTATAAACCATTTAAATGAACTATATTATATGAATTGTTTATTGTTAGTTGGTAAAAAGCAGTAGGTGCCTAAACCATTATGTATAGTATAGCGTGATAAAAATTTAAATGTTGAAAATTTGTTTGTAACACCTGAATAAACACGTGATTATTTTCAAGAGTTACCTTGCCTATACATCATGTACACTAGTATAGGTATCGGTGTCCTTTATTAAACTTAACATATTTTATTGTTAGTTAAACGTCATAATGAATAAAGTACTTATATTTATTTTCAAACAAAGCTACCTAATATATATTCTAGATTGTTTTAATTAGTCATTTTAATATGGTATATTAAGTTTTGTTTTTAAATTATTATAGCATTGTGCAATATGAAATTACAAATAATAAACTATTGTATAAATATTTACAGTTTTCAGTAATATTATGATATATATACATTCTATTCTACGCATCATAAAAAATTATTATATAGGTATTCAACAATTCTTAAAACTGAATCATTTATTATATCTTTTTAATGTTAGCGTAATCAGTCKGTAGATCGTAATACACTTATAATAATCCTATAATAGTATAGACACTATATAGTATATTAGCATTATAGTAAATATGCTTTTACATCTTATAGCGGCGATAATAACTGATACAATCTGTAATCTCTTAAAAGTAAATATGTAAGTGTAATGTGAAACACACAGTAGTATAAATACATTTATAAAAAGTAGATTTTTTTAAAAWTTTTTTATCCAAAAGATAGTGACAAAATCAAGATAATATAAATATTTGATAAAAATAATTTATTATTTATTAGATAAATCATGTTAAAGTCGAATCGTACCTAAAGGTTCTAAAGTAACTCCGAACTTTGAAATTTGAGTAGATATAGGTAATAAAGTGTAATCGTTAACAATTTATTACAATACGCAAAGAACTGATTCATTAAAATCAGACATTTTGAAGCAAGCTGTAGTCAGAACCATCTGTTCATTTTTTTGAGAATCGACCCTTTTCTATTYCATCCAATTACTATATAGTATTAATCAAACCCTTATTACAAGTTATATATGTTATTGTATCATATTTATAATGGCGCTTACACCCATATTAGTCATATTGTGTTATACGTAGGTCGTAGTCTATTAGTTGGTAGATACTCAATCATATTTTGTTTATTAACAACTAAATTGAACAAGTTATAAATACAATTGAATTGTATCCCTAACAAAAAAAACTAAACAATAAATTATATTAATGTCCAAGCATCAAACTATAAGAAAGAGTAAATTTATTATACTCGCTCGTTGCTTGATTTGTTCATTTAAAGTCTATAATTTTTTATAATGAGTAAAAAGAATTTTGACACATCATGATCTCGAATTATAGAGAAACATTTTTTTATCTATATCACTATCTGTTGACTTTCGAGTTATTGACTATAATAATACTTCTGTAAACATATTGCTTGTAAAAGGAGATTTAAATGAACATTATCTTTGTACTCACCATAAATAAACATTTGTAAAAAAATAAATTACTTTTTATTGAAAATACAATCCTACAATATTTTTTTTAGAAAATTATATAAGTATAGGTACACTAATATTTTTCACCATGTAGACTAAGTTAAATTGTTAATATGAGTGTTAGTATGTACTCATTTTAAAATATGCGTGATGGAGTGTCTATATATAGTTAGTGCTTTCATTACAATTTAATTTTGTACAAATTTATTT